GGCTTCCTCTGAATAAATGGAACCTATGTAACACACTGTTTACACTGAAATTAAAAATATTTGACCAAAGAAAAAAACAGCAGGATACAGAGAGATACAGTAAATATGATTTAGATTTTTATTTCTGTGACTGTAACGACCCACAGAAGACACAGCAGCAGTCATCATTTTATTCCTCGGCTTTAAAGCAGTTCCTTTATTCCACAGCTGACGCTGCTAAAAATGACTTTTTTTCTGCATCTCTGAGAGCAGGACTTCAATCTCCGAACTCGTAAAGTTCTTCTTTTTTACTTTGCGATGTCATTCATGAATGGACACGTCCTGGTATGTGGAGCAGGAAACGTATATCCTAAAATGGTGTTTTTTGGGGTGGTAATTATGTAAATAACCTCACCTCGTGCACGAGCAGCTGGATACAAACAGGTGTAATTCATCATGTTTACGCAGCTCATTTACACACTTTTCCTGGATAGAAGAGTTTGTTGAATCTGACGTGACATGTTCGTACGAACCCTTTGTACGAACAAAAGTAAGAGAAATTTAGGAGAAGAATACGAACATGTTCTTGCATGAGGCCCATTGTGAACAAACTGTGTTTTTGTGACAGGCTGCTGGCAACAAAAATCCTAATTTAAATAAGTTCTTCAAACTTTGAGTTTAAGAATATTCTTATGGAGAAATGAGTCACAGGTCAGAGTTGAATGACTCTGAAAATAGTCAGCTAAAAAAATGAGTGAAAAGGCAGTCCAAGTCTAAAAAAAGTCCTTCAAATACCCTAAAGAACAACTGATCAATGCTACTAAAAAATGCCAAAAAATGTTTTGCTTTTTAGACCTGAACTGGGTGAGGGTTAGTATCCAATTGTTTGGTCAGCCTTAGTCAAATCAGACTGTTTTCCTGATGTCTTCATGTATCCCATGAATCAACCTTATCCTTTATGTCATCCATCACAGGCCAGAGACGAGGTGATCACAGTGCTGAAGGCAGAGAAAATCGACTTGGCCCTGATAGAAGCCAAATATGGTTTTGTCACACCACAGAATGTCCTGCAGGCTCTGCAGAGAGACGCCATCCAGGGCAAGTCTGACACCTTCCAGGAAGACATCTACGAGAAACCGATGGTAGAGGTAACTCTATTTCGCAGTCTACAAGTGACCGCCAAAAACGTAGGTAAGCCCACTGCAGTCTGGACAAGAAAGATGATTTCTGTGTTTCCAACACAGCTGGATAAATTAGTGGAGAAACAGAGGGAGACCCATCGACGGATGCTGGAGCAGCTGCTGATGGTGGAGCAGGCGCACAAACAGGCTCTGTTCAAGCTGGAGGACGAGAAGAGAAACCATGGGGAGTTCATGAAGAAGAGTGACGAATTCACCAACCTGCTGGAGCAGGAGCGTGAACGGTCAGTACAGAAACGAGCTCAGGCTGTTAGCAAGAGCGGCTACCAACGGCAGCAACACATCGATGTGATAACTGCAGTAGCGCTACGTTGGAGGTGATATTTACACGTTGCTTGTAAAATAACCGATGATTCTTGAGTTTTAAAACAATCCTACAAATTAAGAAGGACCACCCATGTCGACTTGTACTGCACACAACTCCAAACATGAATTCAGCCTCAAAGTTTAGCATTCAAAGGGAGCTGCAATTATACCAGCATATTTCTTATTTAAGCAGACTCTGTCATCTTTAAATGCCTCTTCCCCTACAGTAAGAATGTCAGAAAGTTGTTTTTATACATTTTTATCACTCAGCCTGATGGGGCAGCCGTTAAAGTTAGTGTTTCCTGTGGTTTTCTGGTGGAGATTTGAGTTACAAACTCATCAATCATTTTTTAATACTAGTGCCTCACTTTAAAGGGATCCCCGATCAGTTGTAACATTAGACTTTATTTGATCAACATTTATTTTAACTGTAAAATAAAGGCTGCAAAAATACTGTAGGATGTTTAGATTTGTAAATTTTTAAAAATATATTGTAACACGGACGGATCCATTTTATTTACACGCAAAGCATTCTGGGTAAATGATGACGTAGACAGGTCATCGATGTGAGCAAGCTATATCCACCCTGAAGGTTAATCTTGGACAATATCTGATGATCGACTCTTTTAAATGAAACCAGAGAGCGTTGACAGAGAGGAGAAGGTAGAAATGACTCAGCCTGTAACTGAAAATATAGATGGAGGACAACAGAGCTGCTTCATGGAAGAAGAACCTCAGCTGAGCCTGTTAGCTTTTGCGCTAGTGCTGACGCTATATGTATTAGCTCAGCGCTAGCTCTACAAACAAGCTGAACTGAGGTCCTCCATCCATGTTTTCAGTTGCAGGCTGAGTCATTTTTGTGTTCCCCTCTCTGTCATGTGGATGGAGGACCTCAGTGACGAGAGGAGAATGTGTAGCGCTGAGCTAGTACATATACTGTATATGGTGATAGCATCAGGGCTAATGCTAAAGCTAACAGGCTAAGCTGAGGTTCTTCTTCCATGAAGCAGCTCTGTTGTCCTCCATCTATATTTTCAGTTMCAGGCTGAGTCATTTCTACCTTCTCCTCTCTGTCAACGCTCTCTGGTTTCATTTAAAAGAGTCGATCATCAGATATTGTCCAAGATTAACCTTCAGGGTGGATATAGCTCGCTAGCAGCCTCGCACAGAGGACCTATCCACGTCATCATTTACCCAGAATGCTTTGTGTGTAAATAAAATAGCCCCGTCCGTGTAACATATTTTTTTAACTTTTAGTTTAAAATGATAAAAACTAAACATCCTACAGTATTTTTACAGTCTTTATTTTACAGTTAAAATACATGTTTATCAAATAAAGTCTAATGTTACAACTAATCCCTTTAAGGTAGTTTGAATGCCCAAAATGTGGATCAAATAACAAATTCTTAATAACTCGATATAATGTAACAATTAAGAAGAGGGAAGCCTTTTTATAGGCTTAATCCTGTTATTTTTACTTTAAACATCACTATGTTATTGAACAAATCAAGGTGTTGTCCTGGAGATCATTCAGTTATTAGGGGTTAGAAGCAAGACACTTTTTTTCCGACGTACAATTTAGGCTTGGAGCCTAAAGACACAACTAAAGTTTACATCTACAGCTGTATTTTATGGTAGCACTGTGTGTCTCTGCCAAAGAAAAAGTGAACAACCAGATTCCCTGGAAATGTGTGTCAAAGCCAGTCAAGCCTCGAGGCAGAATGAAGGGCGACCCAAGATTAAGTTGTTGATTCTGTGGTTTTCTAATGTGCTGTGATGTAATTCTCAAAACTGCCCGAGATACTAACGACCAAATTCAGAGTTGTTCTAGCTAACTTAATACTCCGTCCTGTACTTTCCCCGAGACCACAACTGGTTCCGATCCTCCGGGTACGATAGTTTTACCCAGACTGAAATGTTTCGACCTCAGGTTTTGGAGGAATGCTGTGCATGTTGGTGTGCACATTTTATGGTTTCTGTTCGCTAAATGGTTGTAGCGATGCTTCAGACTTCATGTCGTTCAAGCTCTCAGGTTCACATTTGTGGCTTCTCCGTGAAATGTTATGAAAGGTGTTGAAAGAAAAGCCAGCCATTTTGGTTATTCCTTACTCAGAATAAATTGTCATCACTCGAGCAGTTCGCTTTAGTCTTCATCACCTTCCTCTATCTATCTCACATCAGGAAGCTTTCTACGTAGTTTTGCAACAGTTGTACTGATTACAAAGGTATTTTACAGGAGTTTTAACAACTCAAATGATAAAAGCAATGATCAGTTAAATCCTGTAACTTGAGATAAACTCAGGAGGAAATATTCTGTCTCATGTTGCCAACCACAGCTGGAGGCTGAGAGACATCAGCCTAATTTCTTCTGTAAATGTCACACAAAGAACAGTTACTGCTCTGTTTATGGCTTCCTCTGTGATTTCATATCATATCCAGACACACACACAAGGCAAAAAAAATGCTCTCTCAGCAATTAGCTTCACAGTGGAAACACAGCTGAACAGTGGCCTGTGACCTGCTTGGGACGATCATTCCACTTAGATGGGAGAAAAGTGTTTGAGTTGGAGCACGAGGCGTTGTGACAACTGTCTGTGCTTCGTCATCCAGTACCGTGCGTCAGGAAGAGCTGGCAGCTGTGAAAAACAGGCATCTGTCCAGGTGTGAGCAATTTACTGTGACAAAAGATTTTTGCAACTAAGAGCTAAAAAGAAGTGGAGTGCAAATTTAAATTTAAGAAAATAATAAATCAAACTACATACTAGATATATTTAAAGGGATCCCCGATTAATTATAACATTAGACTTTATTTGATAAACATGTATTTTAACTGTAAAATAAAGACTGTAAAAATACTGTAGGCTGTTTTAGTTAGGTAAATTTTAAAAATATATATTTTAACACGGATGCAGCCATTTTATTTACACGCAAAGCATTCTGGGTAAATGATGACATCAACTAGGTCATCGGTGTGAGGCTGCTAG